GGGCACCCCGACACCCTGCAGCTCGGCCGGTGCCCCTCACTCCCGACCCGCAGCCCCCTGGGCACCCCGACACCCTGCAGCTCGGCCGGTGCCCCTCACTCCCGACCCGCAGCCCCCTGGGCACCCCGACACCCTGCAGCTCGGCCGGTGCCCCTCACTCCCGACCTGCAGCCCCCTGCTGGCCCAGCCCTGGCAGGTGGTGGCCGTACCTCAGGAGGTGTTGATAACTGTTGTGTTGTTGTGTGTTTTTTTTTCTCGTGTGTAAGTCTGTGTTTGTGTCTGTCTCCCCCCCGCTCCACATCTCCTCCCCACACACAGACGGGTTCACCAGCGAAGGGGAATATCTGGAAATCACCGAGATCAACAGGCAGCAGGCTGGGGAATACGAGTGCGTCACGGCCAACGGTGTCTCTCTGGCCGACAGCAAGAGGGTCCTGATCACAGTCAACTGTGAGTCAACGTTTGGGCTTCCCCCTCTAGGGGGCGCCGGCTCCCGTCGAGCCTCAAGGCGGAGACTGGCTGGCTCAGTGGGGCAGGCAATGGAATTTGGGGCCTTTCCCCTCTAGGGGGCGCCAGCTCCTCTCCTTTAATTCCTTCGCTTTCTCCTCTCAGACCCTCCCACCATCAAGGACGTGAAGGACGCCTATCCCCCCATGGGGAAGCCAGCACTGCTGAGATGTGAGGCCATGGCCGTGCCCCCTGCTGAATTCGAGTGGTTCAAGGATGACAAGCAGTGAGTGACCCTCCTTCCCCGCCACGCCCACCCCCTCCAAGAACGGGCCCTGTTGGCCTGCCCCAGGGGTGACTGACGTCCAATCAGCTACCCTCTGGCTTCTCGTTGGCCATGAAGCATCATGTGATCTGTGGTAGACTGAATGTCAAAATTCCCCTCCCAGTGAGATCTGAGCTGTGAGAGTCTCCTCCAGGAACGATTTAATCCCCTTTCCGGGGCTCTCTGTCGTTGCTGTTTTTTTGTGTTGGTTGTTGGATGATCGTTGCTACATTGGGTTGGTTGACTGATGGTTTGTTGACTTGGTTGGCTGTTGGTTTGTTGAGTTGGTTGAAGGGTTGCTTATTGGTATTGATCTGTTGAGTCAGTTGGTTTCTGGGGTTGGTTGTTGGGCTGATTGATTGATGATTTGTGTAGATGGTCGGTTGTTGGTTGCTGGGCTGGTTGATTGATGGTTTGTGTAGGTGGTCGGTTGTTGGTTGGTTGTTGGGCTGGTTGATTGATGTTTTGTGTAGATGGTCGGTTGTTGGGCTGGTTGATTGATGGTTTGTGTAGATGGTCGGTTGTTGGGCTGGTTGATTGATGGTTTGTGTAGGTGGTCGGTTGTTGGTTAGTTGTTGGTATGTTTGGTCAGTTGGTTGGTGGCTGGTTTGCAGGGTTGGTTGTTGGGTTAGTTAATTGATGGTGTCAGGGCTGATTCCCCACTCTGGCACTCTGAGTGCAGAAGGTGGAGGCCTGCATGGATTCTAAACATTAATACCAGCCACTCCAGACTTGTGTTACACTCCCAAGGTTACAGCTTCTCTCTGACCTTGGCTTGGTAAACGCTGCCACCACCCAGAGGACACAGAGGAGTCCACAAGCCAAAATGAAGAAATTAACCTGATCGTGTCTATTTAAACATTCCCTGTCCCGGTGATTCCTTCGTGAATTTTCATACCTGATTCAAACCGTACACAGCATTGCTGCTATTAGCATGGTTGCTCTGTGTCCCCCCAGGCCATTGGTTTGATGGTGGTAACGGGTGGCAACCAAGTGGTTCACCCCATGAGCTTCCCAAAGACGTTTCATGGTCCCTGCCAGGAAGTTGGTCCCTGAATCCGTAAGGATGTCGGAGGGCCAACCTACCCCGGCAAAAATGTCTGCCAATGCCTGGCTCATGCTTTTAGCCTTGGTGTTGCTTAGGGCTACTGCTTCCGGCCATCAGGTGGCAAACTCCATGAAAGTCATGTACTGCTTTCCTCTGGGTGTCTTCTTTGGGAAAGGACCCAGAATATCCACAGCTACTCGCTGAAATGGAACCTCAATTCTGGGTAGTGGCTGGAGAGGGGCTTTGACCTGGTCTTGGGGCTTTCCCACTCGTTGGCACACCTCACAAGACCAGACACAGGTAGAAACATCCTTGCCCATTCCCTCCCAGTGGAAGGACTTCCCCAAACAGTCCTTGGTCCTGTTCACGCCAGCATGGCCACTAGCGTGATCGTGGGCTAAGCTCAAGAGCTTTTCCCTGTACTTAGTTGGAACTACCAACTGTCTCTGAGGACGCCAGTCCTCCTTGTGCCCACCCGAAAGGGTCACCTTGTATAAGAGTCCCCCTTCTATAACAAAAATGGACCTATTAGAAGAGCTGAGAGGCGGTGGGTCGTTCTGTGCCGCCGTCCAAGCTCCCTTGAGTCTCTCATCCGCTTCCTGCTCTGCCTGGAACTTCTCCATTGATGCTGGAGACATCAGTTCCTCGCTCGGTTGGGGACTTGGGCTTGGTCCCACTGGAAGCGATGCAGGTGCTGGGGGGTGTCTCCGTCGACTGTGAACCGCTCTCCACCAGTGCACTGGGTTGTATTTCAGGCTCCGGTTGAGCCTCTTGCGCCGGTGTAGCTGCTGTTGCAGGTACAGGCTCTGTGGCGCCCTTTGGTGCTGGTTCCCCTGACTCTGGTGGGGTTGGAAGCACAGCTCCGGTGCTCACTGCTCCACCAGTTCCAATCCTTGGGCTGGATTTACAACCGCTGCCCTAGACTCTGGTCTGGGGCCTGGTTCCACCATCTCTGGCTGGGTCCCTGTAGGAGGCTCAGGAATGGAGTTAGCTGTGGAGGCCCGTTTAGCCTGGCTGCGGGTTACCATCCCCACCCGTTTTGTTAGCCTCACGTGGTTGGCTAAGACTTCTCCCAGCAGATGGGAATGGGATAATCGTCATAGACTGCAAAAGTCCATAGTCCTGACCAGCCCTTGTATTGGACAGGCAACCTGGCTGTCGGCAAGTTAAAACAGTTGGCTTAAAGGGTTGCCCCGTCGCTTGGGCCTCCGGGTCAATGAATTTGGGGTCCACCAGGGATTGGTGGATAGCTGACACCTGTGCTCCAGTGTCTCTCCACACAGCAATCTTCCTCCCGCCCACACTCACAGTTTCCCTTCGCTCTGGGGGTATTTGCGAGGCATCTGGGCCTGAAGGCTCTTGGTGGGACCCCGGGGTGATTAGTTGTAGTCGGCTGGTGCTCTTGGGGCAGTTGGCCTTTACATGCCCATGCTCATTACATTTGAAGCATCGCCCGGCTGACTGTGGGCTGGGGTGAGGTGGGTGGTTGGAGAGTGAGGTAGTGGGACAAGAGGGCATCTGTGGTCTCCATGGCTGTGTGGAGGTCTCCTCCTTGTGAGGTGGGCTTTGGGCTGACCCCAATGGTGGGGGTTGTCTCGGGTTGCCCCTTCTGGTATCCGCACCAACTGCTACTAGCTTTCTTCTTCTCCGCCAGCTCCACCCATTTGGTTCCGATCTCCCTCACCTCGGTACAGTTTTGGGCTTCCCATCTAGGATGTACCTTTCGATTTCCTCAGGAACCTCCTCTAAGAACTGCTCCATTTGCATTAGGAGAGACAGATCCTCCAGAGATTTAACACTTGCTCCTGATAACCAGACATCCCAATTTTTCCCAAGAAGTGGGGCCCACAAGGATTCTAAACATTCATACAGGCCACTCCAGGCTTGTATTAAACTCCCCAGGTTACAGCTTCTCTCTGACCTTAGCTTGGTAAACGCTGCCACCATCCAAATGCAAAAAACCCCTTGGACCCACGAAGAGGCACTTGGGAGTTCCTCCCTGTGGGGCACCCTCAACCCTTTCAAAAATCAAGCACCCAAAATAGCTTTCTTGGGGGTTCATCTTAAAGGTTACAAGCAAACAAAAGCATCTGGGGTTAGCACAGAGGGGTCCACAAGCCAAAATAAAGAAATAAACCTGATCGCGTATATTTAAACATTCCCAGTCCCAATGATTCCTTCCAGGTATGGAAAATAATTTTTCATACCTGGTTCACACCTTACACAGCATTTCTGCTATTAGCATGGCTGCTCCTGTCCCTGCAGCCCAGAGAGACCAACAGACAAAGGGAAAGTTTCTTTCCCCATTTTATAAAGTTCTACCTTCCCATTGGCTCTTTTGGTCAGGTGCCCACTTTTTTTTTCTTTACCTGGGGGACTTTTTAACCCTTTTCAGATAAAGCAAGCAGGGAACAGACCAAGAGGGATTTTACAGCTAACTGGCTGGCTGGGTTTCCATCAAAGGGAGCTCCCCCCCCCCTTTTATTTATCACAGGTGGTTTGTTGAGTTGGTTGTTGGTGCGTTGGGTTGGTTGTTGGGATAGTGAATTGATGGTTGGTTGAGTTGGTTGTTAGTGTGTTGGGTTGGTTGTTGGGTTAGTGAATTGATGGTTGGTTGCTGGTGTGTTGGGTTGGTTGTTGGGATAATGAATTGATGGTTTGTTGAGTTGGTTGTTGGTGCGTTGGGTTGGTTGTTGGGATAGTGAATTGATGGTTGGTTGAATTGGTTGTTGGTGTGTTGGGTTGGTTGTTGGGTTGATGGTTGGTATTTTGGGTCATTTGATTGTTGGTTTATTCAGATGGCTGGTTGGCTGTTGGGTTGATTGTTGGTTTGTAGGTTACTATTGTTGTTTGACACCTGAGTTCCTTGTCGATTGGTTAGTTGGCTGTTTGATATCAGGGTTCTTGGTGGTTGCTAGTTAATGGTTGGTTGATCTATTGGGTTGCTTGGTGGTTTCCTGGTTTTGTTTGGTGCATTGGTTGTTGGCAGGTTGGGTTGTTTGCTGGGTCTGTTGTTTGTTGGTTGGTTAGGTTGGTTCTTGGGCTGGTTGTTGGTGTGTTGGATCGGTTGTTGGTTTGGGGTTGTTGGGATGGTTGTTCGGTGGGTTGTTACTTTGTCAGGTTGGTTGTCAGGTGCCCCTCACTCCTGACCCGCAGCCCCCTGCTAGCCCAGCCCTGGTCTCCCCCATCTCTGCCGGTGCCCCTCACTCCCGACCCGCAGCCCCCTCTAGCCCAGACGCTTCTGTAGTTTGTCGTGTTTCATGCTGGTTTGCTGATAAATCCCCTACCAGGTGTGAAACTGTGAGATCTTGTAATGCTCCCCCCTCTTTGCCCCCGACCCAGCAGACTCTTCGGGGGCCTCGAGGGGCTGCGGATCCGGAATGAGCGCACGCGTTCCATGCTGCTCATCGACAACGTCACCGCTCGGCATTATGGGAACTACAGCTGCCTGGCCTCCAACAATCTGGGGGTCTCCAATGCAAGCCTGCGGCTGATACGTACGTCCCCCTGCCCTATACAACGGCTGGTCCTGCCCACTGTCATTCACCGCTGGCCCACCCACCATTCCCCACAGCCCCCGCCTACTGTCCTTCACCAGTGGCCCCAACAGCCCCGCCCATAATTCACAGCTGGCCCTGCCCTCTATCTTTCAAGACTGGCCCAGCCATAAACCCCCATATGGGGTATAGTAACATTTAGATAGACTGTCCTGGCTCCCATCCCCCCTGCTCTAATCACTAGACCCCACTCCACTCCCAAACCAGGGATAGAACCCAGGAGTCCTGGCTCTCAGTCCCCCTGCTCTAATCACTAGACCCCACTTCCCTCCCAAACCAGAGATAGAACCCAGGAGTCCTGGCTCCCAGCCCCCCTGCTCTAATCACTAGACCCCACTCCCCTCCCAAACCAGGGATAGAACCCAGGAGTCCTGGCTCCCAGCCCCCCTGCTCTAACCACTAGACCCCACTCCCCTCCCAGACCAGGGACAGAACCCAGGAATCCTGGCTCCCGGCCCCCCCAATCTAAACCACCTTCCTCTAAAATGCTAAAGGCCAGTGAAGTACTTCAAATGCTTCTGAAAATCACCCTTGGTGCCCCCAGGCCCTTGAAAGTCTTGTCCCTGGTGTGAGATCCTCTTTCTTCTTTCGCCAGGCCCCGGTTCTGTGGAAAACGTAGCCGTGACCGGGATGGAGTCCCCCTTGTTCCTGGGCTTGCTGTCGTCTGCCTTTGTGACTCTCCTGTTTAAGATCTAGCGTGTTCGGCAGAGGCGGCGGAAGGAGAGGAGGCTCGGGCGGAGAGCGCGCCAGAGAGACCTTCTCCTTTCCGGGAGAGACGAAGAGAGAAAACAAAGAAACAAATCCTATCGAGAACCCCAGCACTGTGAGGGAAACGTGAAAAAAGAAAAAAAAACGACAAAAAAAAATATGCATTTCTTTCTACGGCCATTTCCCGTCACTTTCATCCCAGACACTTCCAGCCGGACTTGTTCTAAAAGGACAAACAAACTGACCTGCAAAGACACAGGGTTTTCAAGGGTTAACGGCCAGTGCTTCTGTGCCCCGTGGGGGCCTCCGCAATAGGGCTTGTGGTGAGGGGTTGTTCCCCTGCTCTGGGAGAGTTTGCGGTTCTCAGCTGCCGGGACAGACGAGCTTCGCTGGCTTTTGCAGATGTTGGGAGCCGGGCCTGTCTGTACCACACGCAGTGTTCGAGTGGAGAATTTCCCTAGTTTGGAGCTGAAAAATTCCTCAGCGAACAACGTTTCTTGGGCTGAGAATGACCCTTGTTTACACAGGTTTTGGACTCTGAATTTCCTGATTTCATGAAGCTTTCCGGGCTGAGATTTTCCTTCGCTCACCAAGTTTTCCGGGCTGAGAATTCCCTTGGTTTACACAGATCTGAGGCTGAAAATTTCCTTCCTTCGCAAAGGTTTTCGGGCTGAGACTGGTCCTTGTTTACACAGGTTTGTGGCTGCGAATTAATTAGTTTGCAAAGTTTTGGGGCTGAGAATTACCCTGGTTTGCACAGGTCTGAGGCTGAAAACACCCTTCATTCACAAAGTTTTTTGGACTGAAAACCCTTAATTCACAAAAAATGTTTGCGCTGAGACTGACCCTTGTTTACACAGGTTTGAGGCTGTGAATTTTTCTAGTTCGCAGCCTTTTTGGGGCTGAGACTGGCCCTGGTTGACACAGGTTTGAAGCTAGAAATGTCCTTAGTTCACAAAGTTTTGTGGGCTGAGACTTCTCCTAATTCACACTGGGTTTGGCTTGAGAATCTCCTTAGTTCACAAAGGTTTTAGGGGCTCAGACTTTCCCTAGTTTCTGCAGGTTTCAGGCTTTCCTAGTTCACAGGGCTTAAATCTGCACCCCAGAACTGGGGTAAAGACAATTTCCTTCATGAAGTTTTCTGGGGTGAGAATTTCCCTGGTTTACTGAGCTTTCGGGGTGAGCCTTTCCTTAATCCAGCGAGTTTTTTGTGAATTTCCTTAGTGAACAAACCAAACCAAAAAATACCCCCCTTTTAGCTGTGAATTCATAGAATCATAGAAGATCAGGGTTGGAAGGGACCTCAGGAGGTATCTAGTCCAACCCCCTGCTCAAAGCAGGACCAATT